TCAGAGGACTCAGAGGAAAGTGGGACCGAGGAGAAAGCACAATCTCTCACATAATCATGGAGGGGACGGGTCCAGGTCTGGACAACAGGACACTCTCCACTGGTCCACGGTGGAGGAGCTGCCTGCTTCACAATCCCATGTCTGTGAACTCGTTTGTCAGTTGCCACGTGTAAACACTTTTCTGTCACGGTGTGTTTTTCTCTCCGCTGGTTTGGGTTGTTTTTTTTTTTTTCTGCCTGGAAATGCCAGTGAGTGACTGAGGGCGAACTGTTTTAAAGGGTAGTAAAAAAAAAAAACAAAAACCAACAAAACAAAACAAACCTACTGTTCATGTTTTAGGTATGAAAATGCAAAATTTAGAAAAAAGAAAAAAAATCTCTGCTAAAGCAACAAACTTAAGTGCTTTGGTGAAACCAGGTGATTGTTTTAGCCTAGGGTTGCCATAGCAACCGCCCCTTTTTGCCCACCTTACTGTTGTAGCTGTGATGGCAGTGATGATGGTGCCGGGGGTCGATTGTCAGCCGACTGTTGGCCAACAGTCGGAGAGCGGTGTAAATGTCAGTTTGGTCACGGAATGGAATGGCGGCGTCTTTGAGTCGTGGCGAAGAGCAAAGAGATGTCAGCATTTTTACAAACTTGAAACTCGATTTTCTTTGTGTTTTTATTTTATATTCTCTTTTTCTTCTTTTTTAATAATACAAGTTTTGTTATATTTGCCTGTAGTGTATCGTTGGTTTTCTCAAGCGGGGGAGGGGGGAGGTAAGGGGTGAGATAAGGAGAAGAGAGAGGGGCTGAGCCATATGTAGACCTGAACTGTACTCTGTGAATCTCAAGACAAAGTCATCGCCGCAGATCAAAGCAGCACTGTGTAAGATTTAGCTGTGGGAGCGATGTTAGCTTAAATGGTATATTGGATCATTTAGTTGTTTAAAACCTTTTTTTTTTAAACCACGGCATACAATTTTATTGAAAAAAAAAAAAAATCCCACGGCTTTAAAACCTTTTTTAAAAAAAAAAAAACCACAGCATAAAATTTTATTGAAAAAAAAATCCCACGTTGCACCACTAAACCAAAACGTCCCAAAAAGTATTTGCAATGTAATAAAATGATTTTTCAGTTTAGTCACAGTTTATTCACTCAGTTTGAAACCCGGGCCTGTTTAGTTGAACATGATGCTCATATACTAACAGGAATTAAAGAAAGACACAGGAAGATCTTCTTCACCAGCTCTGATTTATTACCTTTTTTTAAGTTGTATGCATCTGTTGCCCCCTAGTGGTATTATCTAGTTCTGTATTTGATCTGTACTTGTTAGTTCTGTCACTTAGACAAAGAGA